CTCCTCCTCCTCCTCCTCCTCTGCCCCGTCGCTGACTTTTCCCCAGTATGTTGAAAACCCTGAGGAGCTTTGGAGCTTCTGGCTCTCGTACCTCCCGCTCGAGGGAGATGTCGCCGAGTCGGTGAGAGACAGACGGCAAAAAATAACTGCCATGCCTTGCCTGCCCTCCCTGCCTGCCTTGCCTGCCCTCCCTCTCCGCCCTGCCTGTCAGCCCGCCCGCCCGCTCTGCCTCCTTCTCCCTTCCCCCCTTTCCCTCCCTCCTCCCTCCCTCCTCTAAGCAACGTTCTCTTTTTGTTTTCAATGCTCGTCCTCTGCTTCTTCTTCCTTTCTCGCTTCTCACTGTCCTGGTGCAGCTGCTGGTCAACAAGCAGCTCTGCCAGCTCGTCCTCTCAAATCACGCGTGGGTTCTCGGCCGCGACCACAGCAACCTCGGCCGCATCGTCCTCATCTTCTCCAAGGTCAAGTCGCTGGATGCGTCCTCCTCCTCTGGCTGTTGCTGCTCCCCTGCAGCTCTCCTCCTCTTGAACCCCCTGCTGCTGCTGCTGCTGCTGCTGCTGCTGCTGCTTCTGCTGCTGCTGCTGCTGCTGCTGCTGCGTGTCCTCTTGTTCCTCCTGACGGCCCAGCAGATCCTCGAGACAGACCTCGTGGACGAGGAAGTGACGGACAGGATCCGCGAGATTCTCCTTCACCTCAATCAGGCGGCACCGGATCGCATGCAGGTCTTCTGCCAGGGGGTGCCACATGCTGGGCTCGAGAAGCTCCAGCGCTGCATGGCGGCGGCGGCGGCGGGAGGGAGCAAGCCAGGAGGAGATGCCAAGAGCCGGTGAGGCTCCTTACCCCCTCGCCACGAGAACTAGCGCCTCCCTGACATCAAGCTTGCCGAGAGAGGAGGGAGTAAAAGATGGTTACTTTACACGTTTCCTATGTACAGCAGAGGTCTAGCTGGTGCTTGACCTCAGCTAGAGTCCAGCTGGGGCTCAGCAGCCGATGAGAGCTTCCAGGTGGGCGAGGCAGGCGGCGACTCGTCGAGCCTTCGCCTCCTCCTTCACCTCCTGCGCGAGCTGATGCGAGTGAAGCAGCAGGCTGACGATCCTGCCTCGGCTGCATATCCCCGCCACCTTCCCCAACTGCATCACTCCAGTCAGAGTCTTCGCAAACTATCTTTGCTCTGCTCTGCTCTGCTCTGCTCTGCTCTGCTCTGCTCTGCTTCCCTCTCCTGCACAGTGTCACTTTCGTGTACTCCCACATTTCCTCGTCTCTCCTCTTGCTCCTCGTCTTCTATCCTCTCCTCTGTGTTCCCGTCCTCTCCTTCTCTGATCTTCTCTGTATTTCTCTCGTCCTCGATTCCCCTGCACCCCTGCCACCTTCTCTCTACCATTCAACCTTACTCCTTCGTCTCTCCCTCTCGCCTCTCTCCCCGTACCTCTCTTGCTATCCACGTATAGACGCTCGGGTCCTGCTGTGGCGCATCATCGTCAGCGGCATACCTCGCCCTCCTTTCTCTCCGTCCTCCCCTTCCTCCGTCCTCCCATCCTGACACCTTCCTTTCCTCCTGCCATCCCCCCCCACAACAGCTCCTCCTCTGGCCTCACAAAGCGCTCTCCGTAGTTTTCGCAATCCTGTTCGACGGGGAGGAGAGACGTCGAGATCACGACGAGGTCAGGGCAGAACGCTCGCAGGCAGGGCAGGAGTTTGCTGAGCACGCAGTTCCTCCACACAGTCTCCTGCATCGCCTCCTCCTTCTTGCTCGACTTGTGCTGGAGAGAGACGATCAGAGGTAGCCGGAAGAAGACGGGGGAGGTACCACAAGGTTGAAGGAAGGGCGGACGACGTTGAGGAAGAGATCCTGTCTCCTCTCCTCTTCAGAGGAGGAGGAGATTGAGTCGGGAATGAACACGAGGAGATCTCTCTCCTTCCTCCTGCTCTTCCTCCCAATGAGCTGCCGAACGTGCGCGATAGCAGGAGCATCCTCCTTGCCCTGTTGTGAGACATCACTCCCTCCTCCCTCCTCCCTCCTCCCTCCCCCTCCCCCCTTCCTCCCTCCTCCCTCCTCCCTCCTCCCTCCTCCCCTCCTCCCTCCTCCCTCCTCCCTCCTCCCTCCTCCCTCCTCCCTCCTTGTCTTCTCACATCAAGGTCGATGATCGCCACCTTCGCCACGTCGTGCTTCTCACACGCGTGCAGCACCACCCGCATCGCCGCTGACAGCGAAATGCTCTTCGCCTCCTTCTCGCTCGCCTGCTCATCCTCTTGGGACTGATCTGAGCCAGCAAGCAGGCAGAATGCGTTCCGACTGTTTCCAGTCATGACCTGCGCCTTCACGTCAACTACTTCCTGCTCCATTTCCCTCCATTCCACACTCCCATCTTCCTCCTCTTCCTCTCTCCCCATCTTCTTACCTCGTCCACTGCATGCTGCACTAGCGGAAGCCACTCGGGTGATCCTCTAACATCGCTTGCGTGAGAAAAGCAGCAAGGCAGAGATGGGAAGAGAGAAAAGGAATCGTGAGATAAGGGGAGGTGGGGGGGGGAGAGGCGAGGAGGATGCTGCACTTACGAGGAAGGTTTCGCGCCATGTACTTTGAGCAAGCAGCGACGGCTGAGCGTCTCCGAGGAAGAGATCGAATCCACGAGCTCCTTGACAAGCAGGGATGGCTTGTCGAGCTTTCTGCTAGGGCCTGAGAGAGGGGACGAGAGGACGAGAGTCTTGAGACGAGCATCGTGATCGAAGACAAGATCGAAGATGGAGAGAGCGGCGGCAGGGAGTGGAGACTTCCCGTCTTTTCCTCGGAAAAGGGAGAGGATTTCAACGATCCCAACTCTTTCTTTGTTTCTTGCACGCAGCGACGCACCATGAGCGATTAATGTCCTTACAGCCTCCATACCTCCAAACCTGCACATGCCTCATTCAACCTCCTCCTCCTCCTCCTCCTCCTCCTCTCCTCCGCCATCTCTCCTCTCCTCCGCCTTCTTTCCTCTCCTCCGACCCCTCTTCCATGCTCTTGTGGCCCTACCTGGCTGCCAGCAGGAAAGGAGTGTCGCTGCTCAAGCTCGTCGGCTGGTCCACGTTGGACTTGCGTGCGATCAATCGCTCTATCACTTCCGCGTGTCCTGCAATGGCAGCCCAGTGGATCGCCCGATAACCGCCCGAGTCAACCAGGTCGATGTCAGCATCGTGCAGCAGCAGCTCCCCCGTGATTTCCGTCGCCTTCTTCCCATCCTTGAGCATGCATGCGCACATGAGCGGGGTGAAGCCCTTCCTCGACTCCGCCGACACCCTCAGCTTGCTGCTCGTCACCGCCAGCTTCTCCTGCCGCACGTTGTCGCTGCTCTCAATGCCATGCGCGAAGTACTGCACAACCACAAGGTCTGGCTCCTCTCTCGATGTGATGGAGCCCTTTCTCCAGCTCTTGTTTACAAGAATCTCAACGGAGGCAGAGGGCATGAAGTTGTAGTGCTCGATCGCTACGTCTTCCTCATCGTCGGCAGCCTCGTTGATTTTCTTCCTCCCTTCCTTGGTTTCCAGCATCGCCTTCACACCCTCCAGATCTCCTGCCCTCACCGCGTCGTAGAGGCTCCCGCTCCCGCTCCCGTACACCGAGCGAGGCGTCTTGATCCCCGCCAGCTCAAACCCTTCCTCCAGGTTCCCCACTGGCACCTCCAGTGAGAGCCCGAGGTGCTTCCCCACGCCGGCGAGTCGGGGGTTGAGGCTGGGAGATCGAATGACGAGGTTGAGGTCGTAGGAGGGCTCAGGGATCACTAGCGTCGCCTTCCTTGGGCTGCTGCTGCTCTCCCCCAGCCATCGCCCCTCGTCTCGAGGTGAAGACTTCGGGGTGATGGAGTGCAAGTTTGCAGCCGCCTGAGCTGCGAGCGAATGCTTCGGTTGCTTGCTGGAGGACTGCAGCTTGCTCACTAGGTTCACTGGCTCCAACCCCCCCTTGTTCGCCGCCTCCTCCTCCTGCCCCCAGGGCTCTGCCGATTGTCGTCGAGGAGATTCCGGGGATGAGACCGAGTTGAAGAGGGAGAGGAGCGCTGCAGCCCCGTCTCTTCCTCCAGGAGACAGCGGCGACCCTGGAGTCTGCAAGGCCTGCATGCAAGTCAAAGAGAGCCAAACAAGGGAGGAGACGAACAACAAAAGAGGAGGGGGGAGAGGAGAAGAAAAGAAGAAGAATGGACGAGGACAAGAACGAGGACGAGAAGAGAGAAAAGAGAGGACAACGAGGAGGTCAAGGACCAGGACAAGGACTGGGAGGAAGAGGAGGACTATGTGAATGAAGCACCTGAATGCGGCTGTTCCTCGGGGAAGTTTCTCCTTTTGATGCCAAGTCGATCGACACGCTCGAGTGAGAGGTCGCAACGTTCCCGCGCGCCTCGTCTCCGCGAGAGCGATGGTGGAGCACAGAGGACGGCACGGGAGGAGAGCGACGTCGAGAGGAGGAGACCGGAGCAACATCTTCGTGGTGGTGGTCGTGTGAGGACGAGAGCTCGTCTTTGGAATTGGATCTGTTCTTTGCGTTGAAGAAAATGTAGTTCCTCGCCCCATCTCCCTCCAGGTCCTCCTGCGATAAATCAGCCCATGAGGCAGCAAGGCAGCACGACCTTCACTGTCCGACCCAGGAGATGCTCCTCGATCAGCCTTGCAGGCGCCAGCGCTCCCGCGTGTCCTCGCAGGATGGGGCAGGTGATTTCTGTTTGTGCGTCGCGAATGACCTCGCGAATCTCCTTCACTGCTCGCGTCTTCGCTTGCTTTCTCAGCCTGTCGGCCACTGCCGCCTGTAATGCGTGATAAGTGGGGAGGGACCAACAGCGACGGATGGGAGGGCAGGCGAAGGAGGAGCGAGCGAGGAAGGGAGGAGGTGAGCTTGACGATACAGCAGGTTCACTTCTGACTGCTGCTTTCACCTGCGTCGGATCAAGAGACTTGGAGTTGTAGGCGATGGCCATGGAGAGCTGGCGGGCGAGCACGACAAAGGGAGCAGGTCGTTGGTCCGGATGGGCGGTGACATACTCTCCGACAGCTCTTGCCTTGCAATACAAGGCACGGTCATGAACAAATCTCATTGACATGTGTCCATGGGCGATGTGCACATAACAAAGGACACAAGGCAACACAAGCAGTCGATCTCTCACCTCAACCGAATTGCAGACGAAGACTCTCATCTTGATGTCCATCGTCGATCCTCGAACAGAGACTGTTGTGTTCTGCTCCTTTGACACTTTGGTGATGACCTGCTGGAGAACGTCCCAAGTCTTGGGGATCACGGAGCTCTGTTCTAACTTTCCTTCGGCGATGGCTGTCAGCAAACAGTCACAACGAGCTCAAACACCAGGGGCTGACACCTGTAACAAACAAGTGCACGATGAAGTGAGAGTCACACTCGGAATGGATCTCTGAACCATGCTCTCCGTCGTCGGACACGTTAGCCCCAACTTTCCGTCTTTTTGAGGACACAAGGGTCTTCTGAGCGATCGCTGATGGACCAGGAGGAGCTAGATCAGCAGAAAGAGGGAAGAGAGAACAACAACCCGATCCAACAGCAGGAGCATGCCCAAATGGAGTCTCTGCGCCATGAGCACCACCCCTATCACTGTCTTTGTGCGCATGCTCTGACAGACGGCTGCTGCGATCGGGAGTACTCCGTCGACCTTCTGCACGAGGAGCTGTAAGTCCTCCCGCAACACACCAACCTTTCCAACCTCGGAAGTGAATCGCAAACTCCGCCAGCGTGTTTGCTGCGTCGCTACTGTTGGGCTGCCGCGGAGCTGCTTCGGGCCAAGGCAGCTGATCAGTTTTATTGGAGCCGGCAACAGACGAGCAGAGACAGAGACAGAGACAGAGACAGAGACAGCAGATACGCCGAGCAGCAAGAGAGATGGAGACGTGAGGGAGGAGATGGGTGACAGTATGGGCTGGGGCTGGCTACCTTCTTCCCCTGTGGTTGGGTTCTCTTGTTTGGTAGCAAGGTTTCTGTGGCTTTCTCCTACCGCAGGCATCAGCTCACAGATGCGCATGACCCCTCCGCAAAATGGGATGAACATTCATTCTCATTCTCAAGCGATTATCTGCCATCCTCGGCTTCTTTTGGTACCCCCTCTCTCACCGATGACAGACGTTCATTTTTGTAGGTACAACAATTGTTGACCACATCGCAAAGAAAAGGCACAAGAAAGAGAGAAGAGTGCTCAGCAAAGGGAGGCACCGATGAAGAGGGAAGTAGCATCACCTTTAACGGCGTTGTCTTCCTCCCTCCCTCTCTTTCCCGCCTCCTCTCCTGTCCTTCTCCTGCCGCTCCGCATCGGCATAGAACAGAGGAACTGACTCCCTAGGGGGTCTTAGCACATCATCTATCACCCCCTACCTCCCTACGACCTGCCCTGAGCTACTTCACCTGTACCCCACCCCATCCATGATTCAGAGTGCTCCTACCACCCCACCATGTCTCAACCTCCTCGATATCCTTCGCGCCCATGACCCCATGATTGCAAATGTACAATTACGATCAAAGGGGTTGGGGTCCTTGATCGTACCCCTACCATACTTTGGACATAGAAATGAAGGGGTATGTAGTATTTCAATACCCACCCACAGGTCAACTTGCTCTCCAAACGTGGGTGGTGGAAAAGAAAGGAGTATCCTGACCTACCCCACCTCTGTAACCCCACCCTCAAAATAATCTTCACCCACCCCTACCTCGGCCTCCATTCCTCATTTGATTGCTATCTGAGATGCACGGCGGCGGGCGGTACTGCGAGTCGGAACGTGACTCAATGATGACCGTACGGTCACGGTGGCGGCCCACTGAGAGTGACTCTGCGAGTGATCGGGTGACTGTCACCGTCCGTCACCGGGCCCGGCCGGGGGCCCGGATGGCCGCCCGCGAATGATTCAGCATGGCCCTGAAGACCATCATGTAGGGGACTTTGAACTTCCACAACTGATGGCTACTCAGGCGGATGGCATGGGTTAATCCTGGACTTCAGCATGTCACATGTTTTTGACAATGATGGAATACCGGACATCGCTCGGAGCAAACTGCAAGCGGCAGCACAGCGGAAGATCCGAGGGCATCGTAATGCATATGCTCAGCACGTCCCGCAAAAGGCCTTTCTTCCCATCATCGCCAGCACTGATGGCCTCCGTGCAGGACGATGCGTTGCGCTTTCTGTGGTGCCAGGGCTGGCGGATCGCTCGGCGAACAAGGAAACGGCAGCGCTGGATGGTCTCTCGGCCTCGCAAGACGTCTCAGGTGATCCGACTTGCAAACGCATCCGGTCCAGGATCTTTCGTCAGCTCAAGGCGGGCCTCCCTGTCCTACGCTGCCATCATCGCGGGTGCATCCCGGTATGCGTCTCATTCCTTCGGCGGCGGCCACCGCGACATCGCTGGCATGGCGGCGGCGCGGGGGGATTGTCCAGCGCGCAGTTAAGTGAAGGTATCAGTTAAGTTTGGGGGACAGCTGTTGGCAGCCGGGATTGGGTTTGGTTCTCGCCGCCCGTCTTTTCTCTTCTCGCCGTTTAACTTAACTTTGAGTAAAGGTGTGCCAGGAAATTCAGCATTCACACAGTCATGCACGCCGCCTCCCCCGGAGTCCGATCATGATCACGGTTGCGGGCGGCGGCCCGGCCCGAGCCGCGGGCGGGGCGGTTGGCCGGGCAGTCACGGCACTGGACTGATTTTTGACTTATTGTGACTTTGAGGAAAGCCTCGGTTGAAGCACTGCGGCACGTGACGAGTGGACCGGCCTGCTTCGCCGGCGGCCGGGCCGCGGGCCGCGGGCACTGAGTACCGTACGGGCGGCCCGGACAGGGCCCGGGCCGACCTTCCGGGCCCGCCTGCCAGTTCGCCGAAAGAAAGATCGAAATTCTCATGGCGGCTGGAGGGCGGGGAGCCAAGAGAGGGCGGAGCTCAAGCGCTCGATGCAACTAGCGGGGTTGAGTTGAGGAGACAGAGAATGGTGAGATGTGAAAGAACATGCTGCAACAAGAGACCGATTGCTCTCTCTCGCGGCTCTCATGCGATAAATGGAAAACTTTTTGCGCTAGCGGTGGCGACTGTTGTGTGGTTGCCGTGCCCGCGCGTTTCTGGTTTCTTCCCCTCGAGGTTTCTCAGGCCAAGAGGCTTTGGAGAACGATCTGTCACTCTCTTCGATAAGCGCGGCTCGTCATATCGCACATGTAACAGTTCGCCACAAACGCTCTCTGCCTCATATTGGTTCTAGGTGCTCCTCGATGCCTTGCAGACGCTGACGGAGATGAAACCCTGACAACATTTTCTCATCACAACAACCGCACAGTCGACTGGAGGCGCCTCAGGTGACTTCCTCCCTCTCTGCTCCTCATCTTCTTCTTACGCAGACCGCAGAGCGCGACTAGTACAGGAGGAGAAGAAACACATGTTTCGTCCGCTCACATTCAACGAGACGCGTGAAGAAAGTCAAGACTACAAGATCTCTCTCGATGACTTGCCCAAGAATCGATGGAGTCATGAAAGTACTCCCATCATCTTCTCTTTCCTTCCCCTCTCACCCTCCATCTCAGTGACAGCATTGGAACCTGGGTGCCTGTTGTTAGCCACACCCAACGAGTTTCTTTACTTTCAGACCTACCTGCACCGCAGCGTCATCTTCTTGGTAGCTTGTTTGCCCTGCTTCTGCTACCTCTGCTGAAAATTTCCTCTTCCTCTTTCCACCACCTCGATCAGGCGAAGCATGACGAAGGGGGGAGCGCGGGATTTGTACTGGACAAGCCAGCCATGTATGAGATAGGAGCAGTGACAGACAAGCTGCCGGGGTTCGACAAGTGTCCTCTCTACCTCGGAGGAGACGTAGGCTCGGGGTAAGTGCGAGCTGGTGCCGCCGTCAACCCTGACCTTTGGGTCGGCAGCATTCAAGTTTTGCACAGGGTGGAGGAACTGGGATACTCGCACCGCATCATCGACGGTGTAATGATGGGGTTCGATCCCTGGCACGCCAAGGAGCTGCTGGAGCAGAACAAGTGCAAGGAGGACGACTTCAAGTTCTTCTACCGCTACACCCGCTGGGTCAGAGGGCAGCTAGAGGTAGCAAAACGCCATGCTCGCCTGGGAGCTGCTCACTCTATCGCAGGAGGAGGTGAAGGCGGGAAAATGGTTCATCGCAGCCGGCAGCTCAGACCTCATCTTCCGAAAGTCTTCGAAGGTGAGCACCTGTTGTTGTCTTGTGGCAGTGACAGGATGGTAGGAGGGGGCACCTTTGTGGAAGGAGGTGTTGGAGCTGATGGGAGGGAGGTACTCCCTCATCTGCAAAGCTGCTTACAACGAGCTGTAAAGTTACATGCCTGCTGTGATGTAAATAAGTGAAACTTGATTATAAGTGAATGACATCAAAAGCTCTAGCGATATGACTCCTCCTCCTCCTGCTCTTCCTCCTCCTCCCTCCGTACCTCATCCTCGCCTTCCTCTGCTATCTCATCGTCCGAGTGTTCCGACTGTTTCTGGAGCATTCGCTGCTCAAGTAGCCGCTGTTGAGTCAGCCATAAGATTCCGCCCAACCAGCAGTTGATGAAGCGGAGGAGGACGAGGGCCTCGTAATGCAGGCCGGAAGGCAGGAGGGAGAAAGAGAGATTCTCCATGGCAATGAGAGCATGCTGTCTCAGGTTGCACGAGACTCCCATGAAGCTGGCAAAAGAAGCAGCTCGCCGTGCCATCGCAGCGCTATCCCATCGCTCCATCTGTCGCTCTTCAACTGCATGATCCTCCCAGTATTCTCCCTCATCGAATTCCTCCTCCTTGGGTTTCCTCGTCCGAATCGATTTTCTGACCGCGATGAGCAAGTAGCTGACGAGCTCTCCAACCATGCTGATGGTGAAGGACAGAACGAAGAGCTGAGCTCCTCGAAGTATGACACTCTTGGCCCTCTGTTCCCAGCTGATCACAAAGTCAGAGGCAAAACATTCGCACCACCTCCACCCTCGCCCTCTCCTCCCTTTCCTCCTCCATCTATCCTAAACCCTTCTCCTCCTCCGTCTCCCTCCCCTGCTTGTATACATCGTTCACTTTACCTGTATGATCCAGGCAGGAAGGCGGAAGCAGGAACATCCTTGATCGCCCACATCAAGGGGTTCAGTCGTGTCTGCCACTCAGGAGCTCGATCATGCATTCTTGCTGCTGGGTAGAAGATGCACACGACGAGAAAGTCTCCGACGATCTCCAGTAGCAGACTGAGCAGAACTAAGTCTGCTCTCCTCCAGACGCCGCTGCCCAACATCATCACTTGCGCTGAGAGCTTGCTCGTGCAGCCGATGACGATCTCGCAAAGGAGGATGAAGACAAACTTGGCGTTGAGAACCACTCGATCTCGCAGCAGCGGGCTGAGATCGCTTACCCATCTTGCTATTCCTCCTTCTCTCTTGATCTTCACCCATGCTCGCAGCTCGTTGAGCGTTGCTCTGCCATCGCAGAGCGCTTGAAAGATGTCGTGGGGAATCTCTTTCTCTGATATTCTCTGAGCATACAAGTACCGCACGATCTCGCGGGGGAGAGGAGAGGTGGACTGTACGAACAGATACTTGAGGCCATTGAGGATTCTCCCGCCTCCTCGAAGACGAAGACAAGGAGCTGCCCTTCGCTGAGAGCTTCGCAGGACTAGTTGCTCTGGCTCTATCATGATGCCATTGGACGGACTTGGTGCATGGCATAGAAACACCAGGAGCACGAGAGCGAACAAGCAGAGCCTGCACATGTCGTAGAGCGATTTAGGAAGTCAACCAAAAAGAGAAGAACCAACAGGATGGAAACTGAGGTGACAAGTTCCGGTGACTGAAGGAGAAGAGGAGGATATGAGCGAGAAGCAGTGACTGAGAAGGAGAAGAAGAGGGGATGAAATCACTAAAGGAGGAGAGGAGGGGATTAAGCCAATGTAGGAGCGCAGGGGCAGCAGCTGCACGTCAGCCTCGTCTCCTCCTCTCGTCCCCTCCCAACCATGTTGTCATTGGGGGTGGTCGGATCCCGCCTTCAGCCCGTCCAACTCCTCAGGAGCGGCGAACTCCCATCTAACAGATATTTGTTTTTTTTATGTACCCATTTTTTCTGCTATGATCAATGATACTTCGAAGGTGGGTACTGTTAAAATGTTTGAGAGATTTTTTAACGTTCCTCGACTGGATCAAATGAGAAAATATTTCAAGGCGAAACTGGACTCGACAAACATCGGAGGGGGAGGGGGAGGAGGGGGGAGGAGGGGGAGGAGGGGGAGGAGGAGGAGGAGGGGGAGGAGGAGGGGGAGGGGGAGGAGGGGGAGGTGGAGGAAGCAAGATAGAAAGATAC